CCCCAGATATTACGTAGTTGAGACATAGGTCCTTTTGTATAGGTTAACACAGGGAGTGTCTTTCCACCTGAATTTTGGAGCAGATATCTGCTGCAGTTTAGTGTTCTGTACTAAGTAACAGCATAAGTCAAAATAATACTTCTGTGAGGAAAAGCTAATGAATGTAGGTGTAATATTTACTTTCTTGTTTTTGAGATCTGAGCTAGTATTTCTGTCATTTTCTGTTATATTGTTATGGCAGTTTGTTTTAATTTAGGGTATCTCTGGGATCTCCATTGTGGTGTTAGGGCAAGTTTTGTAGATTTGTATGGGGATACTACAGCTATGCAAATTAGGAATCTCAAGTCTAGTCTAGAAATGAAGTGAATGATGTCCTAAATAAGAGTCATTGAGAAAACTTTAATACTTCTATGCCTCTAATATCTTTCAAAGTAATAGATCTGTGAGACTGTGATATAAATGCAGATATCTGTGCATTAGAAGCATCTGGTTTTCTAACTGTTGCTAGCTAGAAGATAATGTGAACTAATTTTTTTTTCTAAAAAATTATATTTAATTTTTGGAGGAAAAGATGACAAAATTTGCATAATTACCGTGGTAATAGCATTGACAAGTTAACCTTTTGGACTCCAGCCTGAGGAATGGGCAAACTGAAGTTAGCAGTTGTCATTCCTGTGTTAAGTTTCTCAAATCTTTTTCTCTTCAGGCTCATTTGCGGAAGATAATACAGAAGCACCAATAAAATTTTTTCAAGTGTCTGGTGGCATAGATGGAGATATAACATCATCATCAGACAATTTTGACTGGCCTCGGTAAAATAGTGTTTTATTTTTTAATGTGAATTGTTTGGATTTTTGTGAAGCACTTTTATTTTTCTGATTTTTAATGCAGACTGCTTGTGTGGTAAATGCTTGAAAATAATTAGCTAAAAAAGAGCATGTAGCTATTTAAAAGAACCCAATAACTAAAAAAACCCAAAAACCAACCAACCAGAAAACCCCAAACACCAAAACTTTTCCATTTATAACAACACAAGGTGGTTTAAATTTTTTTTTTTTGTAGATTTGAGTAAATTTCAGTGAAAGTTAGGTGAATGATGAGAGACTTGAAACTTTCTCCCCTCCTTTTTTTTTGTCATTTCACCTACTTCTACATTCAAGACTGAATACCAAACAAACAATCTCAGTTGAATTTTGCCTCAAAATTTTAATATAAGCTGGTACAAAGCTGTAAAAACACTAAAGATGATTATGTTCTGACTGAATTATGGCTGCTGATGCCACATGTCAGGCAATGCAATACTTCAGAGGTACTGAACAGAGGGACATGTAGAGAAGTACCATGGAGGATGTAAGATGTTTAAATAAGATGTTTAAAGAGGCAATTTTATATTTGCCGCCGAATTTGCCACATACATTTTTTTTGCCACAAAATTCAGTGTCTTTGTGAAAGCAAGTTTGTATGGACATTTTTTCAGCATTTTTTCTTTTATAATGGTACAATTAAATTTTTCTGTAACAGTGCGTACATGTAATATACTATGTCATATCGCAGAGCATTTTTAATAGCTGTTGATGGTCTAATGATACAAGTATTATCTTGGGAGAGCACTAAGTTTTTCTTAGGTCATCTAATGGTCACCTGATGGAGTTGAAAGAAACAAACACTAACCCTTTTGCCTGATGGTTCTTTTTCCATGTCCATTTGTGCCTATAGGTTTGGTGTTTTTCTTAATAGTATCACTTTGTCTAATATAATATGTTATTGTCTAATAAAAAAAATCCCTGGTCTTTGAGCTCTTTAGTCTATGTGTATTTAATGGATAGCTAGTAGAGCTAGGGGACATGGAACTATGCAATATAAAAATTCTAAGCATCTCTAATTGCGTATTCTGAATAACTTCTCCAATGTTAGGATTGTATTGAAAATAAACCCTCTGGCTGTGCACTCTATTCTGGAAAGGATAGCAGCTGAGGAGGAAGAAGGAGATAATAACTTTCAAGAGGAAGAAGAAGGAGGGTCTCATTCTTTGAAGGATGTCTGTGATATTAGAAGACCAGAGCCTTCTCCTTTTTCTTCTCGTAGGGTCATGTTTGAAAATGAAGAGGTACTCTAAAATTTTGTTACTGTTTTGTGCTTATGATAGCCAATATACTTTCACTACTTTATATGCATCTTCTGGCTTCCAGGTTTTTTTTGACTTGAGAGATATTTTTTTTTTCTTTTTTCTTTCAGATGGTGATGCCAGGAGATGTAGCTGAAATGACCGAGTTTCAGGATAAAACAATTAGCAATTCTCATTATGTACTGGAACTCATGTTACCAAACATTCACTTAACATTACCAAACAAAGGCTTTTATGAAAAACTTTACAATAGGCAAGTATGATAATTGTTTTACTTGGTTATCATGACTTGTACTTTTAGTTCTGCATTCATTGTTGATAAAAGCAATTGAATGAGCAGCTATAGAAGAAATAATTTGTATAGTTTTTCTAAGAACATAAAATGCTATATAAATATTTTCCAAGTTAACGTCAAAAATGCTTCTGTGTCATATATATGATTAATGCCATAGCAGCCAGCTGCTGTAAAGTGTTTGGCAGATTTTGTGAACAAAGGATACAGTTAGATAGCCTTTTGCTTCCAGTGATTATTTTGTTTAGATCTCTGTTTGCAATGTTTCATTTTGCTCTAATCTTTCTGAATTCTCCTTTATATAAATAGATCATTGTACTTCAAAAACTGCTCTGTTCCATTTCATTCTTTTCTTTTTATTCAGTGATTCTGCATTTAAAAATTAAGAGCCCACAAGGCAGGCAGGGGAAAAAAACCCTGACAACCCAGTTTTGTAGGCCTTACAATGGCTTACCAAAATGTAGAGAAAGTGCACTCAACTTAATGGGTGTTCAGCATTTTTGTTAGTTTTCTGTCTGAAAAACAAAGATGATTACAACTAGATTAAATGAACAAAAAAAAAAATAGGTATTATGCTATGCATTAGCTACATGAATAGAGATACTGATCTATTTTATCCTCTGATAGGCATTACTTTGCATCCAAAGCATCTTTTCACTTCCAAAGTGGCAAAGCTGAACCTTTCACTGAATATTCTGTTGATGTAATTCTGTACTGAATATAACATATATCTTTACACCAACAGACAAACTCACTTGAAATCAAAAGAACTAATGTTTCCTCCAACTTTGCTTGAAAATTGATGTGCTCAGAATAGGGTTTTGTCACGCTCTATCTAACCTGCTGAGCTAATATACATTGACTAATAGAGGCTTTTGTGTCACTGTCAAATGTTAGACTTTGATACCTGTGTACCATAATTACTGAGTAAAAAGTTACTTTCATTATTTATTGCTTTTACTCATGAATACATTATTCTTTCTTGTGCTCTTGAACCTTTTTCTCTTCTGTGTTTATGAAAACTGAAGTCTGTAATATGAAGTCTGCAATGGAAATATTGCTTGACTGACCGTATATTAAGTGGGAATATAGTAATGTATTTTTTATAATGATAATGTATTTCTTCCTAGGATCAGCAATGATTTATTGTTGTGGGAACCCACAGCTCCATCTCCTGTAGAAACATTTGAAAACCTTTCTTACGGTGTTGGACTATCTGTGGCCAGCCAGCTCATCAACACTTTCAGTAAAGACAGCTTTAGTCAATTTAAATCTGCAGTTCATTATGGTAATACACTTAATAAATCATCTAGAAGTATCGTGATTCAGAAGCATAATTGGCTGAAGTGATTAAGCTGCTGGTGGAAAGAATTTGCAAATTTAAAAAAAAGGATTTACTTAAACCAAGAAGAAAAAAATATAGATTACTGTTTAATTAAGTAAAATAAGTGTGAAATTGAATTGCATTACCAACAGAAAAACAATGAGTTATTGGGATAATATGTGTACTTGCTAGAGAATTACTGTTTTTCATTTTATCTGTTAGATGACGAGAGTGGATCTGAGGAAGAAACACTACAGTATTATTCCACTGTTGATCCAAACTATCGTTCACGTAGAAGGAAAAAGCTTGACTCTCAGAATAAGAACTCACAAAGCTTTCTGTCTGTTCTGCTAAATGTGACACATGGATTAGTGTCAATATTCACAGATGTAAAGGTGAGACATTGGGGCTGGAAAAAGCTGTTCTGTTGTTTTGACCATGGGATCATGCTGTATGTACTGTTTTTGAAAGGAACAAGTGTTTGTAATGGTAATTCTGTAATCTTCACACGATTGTACTACAACTAGACAGTAACACAACATAATATTTTACCAGTGCTGTTTACTTTGCTCTAGATGAGAATAACTAAACGCAAGCAGGAAAATATGCATTGGTAGCAAGTGTTATGTTAGTTCAGACTCTCGAACTGCAGCAAACTTAGCAAGCAATCATTTCAGCAGGATGATGGAAGTACAGTGCAAGGAAAATACGGTGAATTCTGGCTTGAGTTCAACAGTGGTTCACTTTTCAGCGTGACTAAATATGAAGGCTTTGAGGACAGACACTACATTTGTCTCCATTCTAGTAGCCTCAATTTGTATCATCAAGGTAGAGGTGGCTTTGGGACTAAATTTGAAATCAGATAAGCTTGAAGTTTTTTAGGAGAAGTGCTGTCTTTTGTTTTTTTCCTCCCCGCTGTAGTGTATCATTTGGCATGGTACATTTAGTTTATGGCTAATGCTCCTAAATGCTACAGTGATACAATTTCATGATAACTGTATTTGCTTAGTTACGGTTTAGCTCAAACATTCCTTGGCAACTGCTATTCTTTAAAGATATTGTGGTCTTCTGGCAATTTAGCTGTACAGTCTCTTCTTTATTATGAAAGTACACACTTTCTACATGTCATTGGTTATTTAATTTAAAAAGGTACAGGTTACCAGTGGCTGCTGTATTTTTTCTGGGAGGCTAACTGTAGTCTGCAGGTAAAGAATTTTAAGTTGGCTGTGTAGTTTGTATAGCTGATAAGCCCCATGTAGTTAAACCTTTTAAGGTTTTCCCTTCTGAATAATGTAAAACGTCTCTGAATCAGTGGAAGCCAAGTTAATTGATTTTCAGTGCAAGGCTTAATTTTTGTATGTTTAGAGGTTAACTGGCGCCATCTCACAAAATCAAAAGGAGAGACATATTCCTATCTCTCCATGTATCGATTTCTGTCCTTTAGTTCAACTTCGCCATTTTGTTGGGCAAAGATAAAACTAAACCCTATAGTGTCATTAAAGGTTTTAGCTAGAACTGTGGTTTTAAATACTGGATGACTTGTAATCTCCCCTTCACAACTTTTCGTTGTCAGTGTGCATGACTAATTTTGTTGGTGATTAAAATTATTTTAAAGTCATTAAGCATAAAAAGGATTTTCGTTAACTCTTCATCAGTAAGAGCTTTGAAGCATGAGGTAACTCATTCTAAAAACTCTTTGCAGGTATGGTAGATGGGGTCGTCCCTTCCTCTGAAGTACGACTGCCCAGCACGATACGTCCCCACTGGTTAGAACCTACTATTTGCTTCTCTGAAGAAGATGGTCTTAGTAGGACTACTTCAGATGGTGTAGGAGTGGATTGTCCAAGTATGCTGACTGTTGCAGTCAAAATCCAATCAGATAAAATAGAGAGCAATACAAAGGTTTGTGTCTTCAAATTTGTGCTTTTATAAATTGTTAGAGTTAGCTCAGTTTACATGGAAGCATCTAGGTGTGGGGTTACAGGGATTATAGATGAAGAAACCATGTAATTCTGAGCCATTCCTCCTCAAACTATAATTTTCTGTTAGAATCTTTTGGATGGATTGTAAAATTTAAGTATCAGCCTAATTTACTAATTCTTCCAATGCTTCACTTTGCTGATCATACTATATTTCTTTACTGAATGCATTTCTTGGCCTGTTGACCACCTTCTTGTTTTCCTTTGGTTGAGTTTTAATCTCGTGCCAAATGAGGCAAAAACAAATATGAAGAGATAAAAGCTTTCCACTCAGCTTACTAGCAGTGTCATCTAATAGGCAGCCTTTGCTTACCTATTTGGAGTGGCAGTGGTAAATGAGTGGTATGTTTGACTTTGACAATAGCATTCATTAGCGTGGCTAAAAGATGACCTGGCATAATGCTGACAAATAGCTGGCATAATGATGACAAACAGGTTGGTAGAGTTATCTAGAGAACAAGGAATCTGCAGACCAGCACAATGTCATGGGGGCTCAGTTGACTTGGATTTGGACACCATAAGAACGAACTACTTTGGGTTGGTACTCCTGGTAATTCCTGGTGAATCCCAGAGTAAATGAGGACATTGCCTTCCTTCCTTCCTACCACCACCACCACTAAATAAATGGTCGTTTCTAATTTATCCTGTTGCAAAAAATATTAGGCTCTATTAGTCAGGGTTTCTGTACTAGGAAGCAAGGTTTTTTGAATATTTAATCCTGGCCCAGTCTTTTCTTCATTTCTAGACACTTGGAGATTCTGGGAGCGGAAAGATGTCTGTGTTTCATAATCTAGATGTCAAATAGTTACATGTATTACATGTAAACTAACTTCTGCAACTTCCTTGTGCAGGAATTTCTGGTTGCTGTTGGGCTAAGAGGAGCCACACTTCAGCACAGAGTACTGCCTTCAGGTTTAAGCTGGCATGAACAGGTCAGGTTGCTACAGTTTTCTTTACTACATCTTCAAATTCAGTCTCATTGCTTTAACAACTGCTTTAAGTATCAAACTAAGCCTTAATGGAAAATATTAGTGTTAGGCTGTGTCTTATTATCTTACTCTGCTTTTGAAAGTGTTACTCTACTTTCTGCCTTGTCTCCCTTTTAGACCATTGACAGACTGTAGTCTTGCGTTTAAATTCTTACTTACGTATTCATTTGCTACAGTTCCTCTCATCATCCTAAATCTCTGCCCACAACATATCAGGGAGGTTTTGGGATTTTGGGGGATCTTGGTTTGTTTGGTTTTCTTTCTAAAACGTTCAGATGGAAAATCTCAGTAGTCCAATGCTATCCAAGTACTTGGATAATCCTTGATGTAAAACAACACCCTCAAAAGAAACAAGTGTGCTACTTGCAGCATGGAAAGCATTTCTGTATTTTTTTCCCTTCTGCTCACTTCGTTCCTCAAGTCCCTTGTCTGTTTCCTGTTTTACATCATTTGAATAGCGGTAATGGAAAAGACGACTTTGAGGTAGTAGTAAGCAGGAGTTTACATAAACGCTTGTAATGCAAAATTCTGAAGTAGAAGGGTTGTACTGGTATGTGTGGATGCAGACATATAGCATAGCAGACAGGGCTAGCTGCCCTTGATCTGGAAGCTGTGTGTAAACATGCATGACCTAGAACATGCCATTAGCAGAGCAGCAGTGTAGTTGCATGTACTTCAATGTACTTAACCATACTGGATTACATATAGTAAACCCTGTCACTCAAGCTTATCCTGCTTTTCTTCCAGTATGTATGGTATGCATAGTTTTACCTGCATTTTTATTGTATAACTGCATGGAACTGAATTTAGTGCTTTGGACTCTGCTGTGTCATTGCTTCTTGGCATGAAACTTTATTGTATAACTGCATGGAACTGAATTTAGCGCTTTGGACTCTGCTGTGTCATTGCTGCTTGGCATGATATTCCTATGTGTTCATGTAGCCTGCTTTACACCATGTTGCTTATTTGCTCTGTGAATTTTTGCTCATTAACATTGCCTGTAATGCACTTGGGAGTCTTTTTTGGAGGGGGTGGGGTATAAAAAATTGGCCAAAGAGGTAGGTAGAGGAAATTATTAAAAGGCTAGCAGTGCAGGTATGCACCAGCCTTGGAGTAATTTAAGAAGAACTTTTATAGCATAATGGATTTGAGAGAACTATGACAGATCTTAAAGAAGAGTTTATTTTATGCAGTAATTCATGAAAAAGCAGCATGTACAATGCTGCATTCATCTGAGACTGAGCCTATTTCTACCTCTGACAAAGAAAAAGAAAGATCATATGAAGAGAACTTTAACAGTGTACAGTATTGAAAGAAAAGTTGGCTTTACAGATAAAGAGAACAAAGAAAATAATAAATCTGTAGTAAAAACTGCAAAGAAAGATGAAGGAGACTGTATTTGGGAAATGCTTTAAAAGTGGATTGTGAGCTGTTGTACAAGTAGCCGCTTAGGTGTCTGTGGCTTGGTCTTTTCCATACCTTTTGAGGCTGCAGTTTTTGCTCTGTTTACATTCTGTGCTTTTCTATATTCAGATACTGGGTAAGCACCTTTAAATATCTGAGGTTGTTCACTCCCTTTTCCTTTTACTAATCAAACATTTCATTGTCAGATTACTGTTACAGATTTTCTCTTTTCTAATGCATAATTGCTTATTAATTTAACAGATATTGAAGTATTATAATAATATGTTTGTGATTTTTAGATTTTATATTTTTTGAATATTTCTGATGAGCCTGTTCTGGGATATAATCCTCCAGCTACAATTACAACTTTTCATGTACATCTGTGGAGTTGTGCTCTTGATTACAGGTAAATAAAATGCAAGTGTATGTCACTTGGTGGAACTGCAGCTATGTATGTATTCTTTAGAAATGTTCAAGTTTGTATATTGTAAAGAATATTTATTTAGGCTTCTTTGGAAAAAGTACGTTAACAGAAATCCCTTAAACTGTAAGTAATTTAAAGTAGGATAAACACTTGCCTGCGCCTGGCAAGATGTAGTGAGGTAACCTATAAGACTGTGACAGAACCTCTAAATAGGTAGAGTATTAATTTTTTTTTTCCTATTTGTTTTTAGGCCCTTGTTTTTGCCAGTCAGAGCTCTACTTACTGTTGAAACTTTCAGCATTTCCAGCAGTGTTGCAGTGGATAAATCCTCTTCTACTCTCAGGTATAATTTTACTGATTGTGAAACATGGAAGCTTCTGTAAAACTTGTAATGCCTGTCTGCTTTTTTTGACCTAGGAATAATGTGTGTTTTGTAAATGATCACACTGGTTTGCATCTTTTGAAATATACTTTGCTCATGTGTAATCCTTCTGTTTTATTAGGGTAAATAATTTTTATTTTTTTAGATGGAATGCTTTCTTTAAAAACTAGCAATTCTGCAATTCTAATACAGTTGAAAGATGTCCTGAAATTAAATTGTGTTTATTTTGTTAATTAGTAGCACCTTAAGAATTCTTAAAGATTTGTTATTTGGATACAGTATATCAATTAAGGAAATGTTTAGTGATTACGGCACATCTCTGTAACTTTTTAATAATTTTGCTTGCAACTTCAGTTGAATATTCATTGTTATGCCTGTTCTGATGTGAAACATCTGCCGAATTGCTTGTTGCTATTGATAAAACCTTATAAATTACCTTTGAAATAAATGTGTCTGTTACTTTATTAAAAAGGAAAAAATGGCAAGAAAGGAAATAAGTGTTAATTCTGTATGCCAAAAGCATTACTTTTTATTCTAGGAATATAAAAATTGAAATGCAGATAAAATATAATTAGTGGTTGTGATCATATCTTGCAGTGGTTAATTACCAATGGATTTAGAAATTATGAAAGGTTGAAGTGAAGAGTTTGGATTTAAGATACGCTAGATATATTTGTGTTTTCAAATATTTTTTCTATACTAATTGCTTTTGTCTGGTGAATTGCACAGCATTTTTCTAGTATGCTTATTTCATCTTCTTTTTATCTTTTAGAATAATATTAGATGAAGCTGCCTTGCATCTGTCTGACAAGTGCAACACTGTTATGGTGAACCTCCATAGAGGTAAGGATGTTTTAGATGTGACTAATTAATTGCAGAGCCTAAAGAAACAAAATTACAGGCATATTCAGCATAAGGTTTATTGAACAAGAGGTCTGAGGAGATAAGGAGCAGCAAGTTGAATATGAATGAGTAATGCAGTGTTGATGAAAAATCTGAGTGCTCTATTTTGAATTTGTGGATGCAGAGGTATGTCGGCAAACAGCAACTTGCAAATCCTTAATTTTCTTGTTACAGTTCCTTAATGGGTATTGGAAAAAAACATTTTAAAAAATCTGGAGTTGACAGAGAAATAAATCTTTGTAGAAAAGCGATCTCATTTTATGAGATACATGCTCTAAATAGTTGAACTTGAAAGGTATTATATGGCACTGAGTTCTTGGTTCCGAAAAGAATTATATTACCTGGTTTGCTCTCATTCACGTAGTAACAACGTTTAAGGACTGAGGAACTTGAGTCAATATTTAACGAATTAATTGGAGAAATAATGAAACCCTGTGCCCACAAATGTGTGTATTCAGGTTAGGTAAGAGATTGCTAGGGAAGGACAGAGTGAAGATATGCCTGTTTTGTTTAAACAAGAAAGAGGGGAAATATATTATTCATGGTACTGAAAGAGTTACTACAGTGTGAAAATGTCCTTTCTCACTTCTACGAAAAAACTGCTAGGATGCTTAGTCATCCAGCTTCTGTGTGCCTCTTATTTCTCTAATTCACACAGATGGGATGAGAATAAGTATCTTAAAAGACTACACTGCACACAGATGGTGGCAGTGGGAGTGATATATTGGACTGAAAAGAGTCGAGTTTTTAATTTGAGTAGATGAAACTTCAACACTGAGAGTAATGCTCATAGAAGAAGGAAATGCAGAGATATAAAAGGTATTGACAAAAAAGATACGTTTTTATGCTCATGCTATTTCTAATGTTTTAATAACAAAAATATATAGTAAGGATGATGTTTGTTATTAAGTCTTTTTATTTCAATTACTCATTGTCTTCCAGATTATGTTCGTGTTATGGATATGGGACTGCTGGAACTAACCATTACAGCAGTAAAATCTGATTCGGATTTAAGAGTAAGTATTTAATCACAAATAAAATAAAATGTAAAATCTCCATGATAGATTGTGATTTAAAAATTCCTAAGTATAGGAATTCCTAAATATATTCTAAGTATAGTAAAGTAAGGTTTTCCATTGTATGTGTACTATTTTTTTAAGTCCTTTTTGACTAATTAAGTAAATTAATTTAAAAACAACTGTGTATAGGTGCTACTTCTATGGAACCTTAGGTTGATTTGAAGTGTATTCTTATCTTTTTATTGTTGCTATGTAGAGTAAACCACGTTTTGAGCTGCACTGTTCCAGTGATGTGATCCATATTCGTACTTGCTCCGATTCATGTGCTGCACTAATGAATCTTATACAATATATTGCAAGTTATGGTGATTTACATCCACCTGCTAAGACAGAGATTAAACGTCGGGGTAGCAAGCCAAAAATGAAGGTATGAAATGGCAAAAGAATATCAACTAAACTTTATGCTTCCTGCTAATATGTTTTAATTTTGATATCCCCATTCTATTTCCAAAGAATATGAGATTTCCTGCGAAGAAATTTAACAGATTACATCTAACTTAAAATGTATTTGAGAGTAAAATAGTGCCTTTTCTTCCTGCTTTGGTCACTACTTAATATTTTAAGATATTTTGTGCTGCTTACCTACTGTACTTTATTCTTACCTAAAGAAGCAAATTCCAGGACATATATGAGTTCTTGAAGTACTCTGATGATCTAAATACCCTGAACCATAATGTTCTAACCTATTTTATGAACCTTCTATCTCAGAGTTTCAGCTCACTTGATTATTTATAAAGTTAAGGTGTTACTTCTTTAGAGCTTAAGAGCTGTGTATCAAGCTTTTCTAGCAAAATCTTATTCAGCATGATATTGCAGTGGTCTTTAAGATATAACTATGTATAGTTCTCTCCTACAGGTAGAGACATTTAACCAACCATCTTCCCACGGACCAGTCCTCGCTGAATCAGAGCAACAGATTTTACGGGATTTGATGAGTGATGCTATGGAGGAAATTGAGACTCAACAGACTGCTGCTGCCATGAAGCCCGAGTCTAATGGTAAGAATCCTCTGGAGGCATAAGTACACATGAAGTACAACCTTTCTGGAAAGAAAGTGGGATTGAAAGTTTTATATATGTAGAAATGCAGCAACAAGAATGGGAGCATACCTTTGATGTCTGAAGTCTTCAAACTATCAAACATATTCTTGCTTTTAATCACAGTAATGCAAAAGTAATTTAAGATTCTAGTCAAGTACGCATTACTGAGATACTGAAAACAGTAAGGAAGGAATCTGACTTCGTGGGACTCTAAGACCCCAGATTCTCTAGGAGTGTAAGTTAGTATGGATGTAAGTTTATATGGCACACTGCAGTGTGAAGGAATCAAAAACCTCTGTTCTGTGTCTGTAGTCCAGGAGCATGATGATGCACTTCTGAGTCGCAGAAAGAACTTCTATCTGTAAGACAACTTTTCAGTTAGCAGATAGAACAAGTTAATTGATTTTTGCCACAGGATTATGGCTTCTGCATCATGGCTAGACTTAAATGCAGGTTTAAATTGGCTGAGGCTTTTGTACTGCAAATAGAGAATTTCACCATTTCCATGATGTCTGGTCCCCTTTTTGATGGTGGAAGGTGAGCAGTCAGTGTAGTACTGAAAGTATGCTGTGGTCTTACTATCAGAATAAGAAACTTGGTCGCAAAAATGTTTTTTGTATCTGTGGGGGTTTTTACAAATAGTTTTTCTGTTTTGTCAGCTCATCTCTACTAGTAACTAGTTAGGATTATATTGTAATCACTTTCAGTAGTACAGTAGATTAATTTTTGAAAATTGTATTTTATTTCTAGTAGAAATTAATTTAATATATAATAAGCAAGTTCCCTTGATGTAACTGAAGTGAGAAGTTTTAGTTAACTGTTACTTTGTTCATATTGTAACTGTTTTTCCACTGAAACATATTTTTTCTACCCCCTCCTTCAACTCCCAGGAGTTTTGGATGACAGATCTCAAACTCAGGAGCCATCTTGCTCAGATCTTTTCCTGTTTCCAGACGAAAGTGGAAATGTCTCACAAGATCCAAGTCCCACTTATGCTTCATTCACTCATCACCTGATAAATGAGGCCATGGGAGATGTTCCTGCAGAAAGTGATGATTTCTGCATTCTTTTTGCACCCAAAGTTGCTGTTGCTGTAAGAGGCTTTGAGAATTTAAAAAAAAAAAAAAAATCCATATATAAACTGAATTAGAGAAAATCCTATGTAAGACCTAAACAAATTAGACTTCGTAGCTTTTTGTGATCACTTAGTGATATTTTTATCAGTGGGCAGAGCAGCAGAAAAATAATCTTTCTGTTTGAAGGGACTTCATGCATTGTTACTGTTAGGAATGAATGCAAGTATTTTCAAACGTGTATGATTTTTCTGTAGTTCAGCATTATGTAATTGTCCTCTGATCTGAATATTACATTAAACTATGTTGGCGGCTTTCTTACATTTTAGTCATGACTTATCATTGCCATTTTGACTTACAATAATGGCATAGTAATGAAAAAAAAAAGTTCTAAGCAAAATGCAGTATTTATCAAAATAGCGGCTTTGCACATCTTCTAATCGTTTATTCATTTCTCTCATAGTCTAAGCTTTCAGTGCTTTTATGGGCCTAAGATCCTTGCCAAACCTCAGAGGAAAGCTTACATGTCAGTTTACAGCACTGTCTGTCACTGCGTTAAAAGATTTAGGAAACGGTACTAAAACTCTTTGAAAACAGCTTGTGTTCATGTTTTTCATAGTGTCTCTGGTTATATTCTTCTTAATAGACAGAAGTAGTTCTGGATCCCTGAATAGAAGCTGTATTTGCCCAGTTATCTTTCAGCTGTTTTGTTTCCAAAGTGCTAATATGGTAGCCTGGGATCTTCCATGGTTTTCTGTTTGTTTTCAAATTGTTTTGTTTTGTAGTTTGGATGAGGAATTTTTTAAAAACAACTTCTCAGCTCAGTTTATTTTTATGTGCTTTTGTCTTTAAGTTACTTTATAAGAACCATTCCTAAACGAAGCCTGTGTTGTATAAGCTTTAGAACACAGTACAGAATAGTTTCTTTTCTTTTCATAGGAAAGAATTACACACCTCGATAAAGAAAGTATATTTCACCTTCTCAATGCTATATATATATTTTTTTAAATTAGGAAAAGGAGGAAGAGCCAATAATAAAAATAATGGTTGATGATGCAATTATCATAAAGGAAAATCATTTCAGCCAACCTGTAAAAAAAACAGATACAAGCAAAGCTCCCCTTCATTTTCCTGTTCCTCTGGTACGCTATGTTGTGAAGGAAATCTCTCTTATTTGGCATCTCTATGGCGGAAGGGATTTTGGGACTGCACCACCAACATCTCCAGCTAAAAGCTTCATGTAAGCGTTTGATGTTCTGTAGATTAGTACATTTAAAAATACTTATTTTCCTTCAATTTGAGGTTAATCTCATTATTCAATCTCAGGTCTCCCTCACTTGCTTCTTCGCTCCCTCCTCACAAGGAATCAATCATAGAATGGTTTGGGTTGAAGGGACCTTAAAGATCATCTAGAATCTTATTATTCAGTTTATCTCCACACACCAAAGTGTGTTTTTCCTGTGTCTTAACCTGGATAAGATGGGTTTGGTTTTGGTGTTTTTTTGAGGATGAAGGGATGGGTTTGCATTTAAGGTTTATATTAGAAGTTTTCCTATTTTACATATTTTATTTAAATTTATATATTTATATAAAATCTTTATTAAATATATAATATTTATAGAAAATTCTATGTCATA